TGTAAGATTGCTATTGGTTATGACTTATGATTGAATATTATTTTAGACCTGTACCTTATATTTGGTCAAAACTCAATAACTCGATAAAAACGGTATTCCCAAGGCAAATTTTTCGACCGTTATCCACATGTTATGCGCATCATAATAACAACGTGGTAATACAACATTCCTAATTACATACGTACCTCGCGAGGTCTGCAATCCACCACAATAAACCACGGGTAGTCCACGGGAAATATATATATTCAAGTGGGTCGATGAAAATTTTTAAGTTTTGAACATCACACACCGAATATTAAATAAACGAATCGAATAAAGTTTGAATCACATTATAGAGTTGGCACTTTTAACGGGCCACGAAGTGAACGGGATCAGCTAGTATATTAATAAAATATTTTAAATAATACCCATAATAAGTATACAGAGTGGTCGTTTTATCGCGAAACACTCAGATATTTCTTCTTGGCCTAACCAGGACCCATCATTTCAGTAAGAGGTAGGTTTGATCTAATTTTTTTACGACGTTCAGTTATGTTTTTTCCGACAAAAGATAGCCCATAGAACCCCCCCCCAATTCCCATAATAAATACGCTACTGCTTACTATATGCAATATCAATTCCATACTCATCGGTCACCTCTGCAGCGACTCATTCTCATCGTGAGCTGCACAAGGTGTCCGTGTACCTGTATCAATCAGCGTTGGGTCAACACACGCACACTCTCATCCACATTGTAAAAATAATAATAATAATACATAAACAGATACCTAATAATACTGCAAGTATAATAATATAACTGTTGATACTACGTGTAGCAATAATTCACTGACCGGTATGGGCAGTGGGCAGTGGGCACGTATAAATTATTATTATAACCGGACGCAGCGGGTCCGTCGAGGGGTGGGTTCTCGGAATCGGCCACGGAGGGGTTCGTGAGGGATACGAAGGGGATATTGTTGATATGCACAGGTTATAAATCAATTTCGCAATAAACGAGTCCGTTATATTATATTATGTATATACATATATAATATACATTATATATCGGCGAGGGACAGTGAAATGAAGTGAACCAAAAGCTCTCGCCCGCCGAGTGCTTGTGCGTATATAAACGACCCGTCCCATACGTGTAGGGTGGTCGCGGCCACCGTATACAGGGTGATCAGTTTATAGCTAGCTTCACTGATTTTCAGTAGTTTTTTGTTTTAGATAATTTTTTTATAATATTTAGTTTTAAGTGTATTTAGTACACTATAATAAAATGCATTTACAGCAACAAAAAAATCAAATAATTTGCTACTTTTTTTTTTCTATCGGCAATTATAATGCATTTTGGCCAGTATGGCTTTCTATAATCAAAAAAGAAAAATTTTGATGTAGTTATAATTATGAATATTACGGAATATTGGATGTACATTTGTCGGTCCACTGTAATGTATAATATTAGGTCCATCGACACTTTAAACACGTCTCATCGATAATATTAATTATTATTGGTTGCCAAAAACTATTCATCAAATATTTTATAACGATATAATATTATACGTCGACATTTTTAGAAAAATATTCTGCTTCCGGTTATCAGATTAAACACGTAATTTCGGTTTAGCGAATGTAAAAAAAAAAATAGTTATAATAATTACCTAGGTACTCCGGACGAAACGCATTTCGAACACAAAAAAAAGACCATCAAGTGCGGGCACCCTGTATACGACAGATGTGTGTGCGTCGGTGAGTGGAAATAGCGCGATGCGTTGTGTTGCGTCGGCTGCGGCGAGCGTTGGCGACGCGTCGGGGGGGCGGGTTCGGACTCTGTAGGGTGGCAGAGGCGAGTAGTGGCGATTTGGCGGGATGGCGGGCGGGTGGTCAGCGAGAGGCTTTTTAGAGTTATGTTTACGTCTACAAAATGTCACGATGACCACGGTTTTATTACACACACACAAACACACCACCCACACTCACCCATACTCACAAGTGTATATATATTATGTATACGTCGGACGCCCTGACATTTCGTTATTAATTCCCCACGCGCGTTAATGGACAGTCAGCTTTTATAATTTTTAATACACGTGGGATGCATAATATAATATTACGCATGTTCAGTGAGGCTTATACCTCTATATATATATATATATATATATATATACGCGTGCATTATAATACTACGTACATCTATATAACGCGGTTTGCCCCGGATCTTTCGGATATTTTCGAAAAACGTCCTTGTGCAAGGGATTTGGGACGTAATCTGTTAGTACGACTGTATGTTCCCGAAATGTCTCGGTCTCCTCGATATCTCGAAAAATAATTATCGTTATGGGTGTGTAGTCGGAGTGACACGATTTCTGCAGTCCTACCCGCATCTCTCTCCGGGCAATTCAAACGTTCGTTATTTTTCCCATGTCAACATTTTAGTGTGTACGAAGTTTAAACAAATACAACATACTACATTAATTATTTGATACAAACACTCCCGAGATTTGTACGCGGTAATTTAAGTAAAGTCGTAAAGTATTTCAGTAATTTCGCGTACACAGTTCAAATAGTTTTCTTCGAGCATACAAAATGTTTTGAATTAATATTTAAAATATTTTTGTTCAAATAATTATAAAAAAAAAAAACGAAAATCAATTATCAATGATCTCGAAATGTAAATATTCCAATACATATATTATTAAGCTAAACCCGTGCACTTTTTTGCCCTTTAAATGTACCAACTCTATATGACTCAAACTTTGTTCAATTCGTTATTTAATATTCGGTGTATGGTGTTTAAAATTAATCTGATTTATAAAATTAAATTGCCCGGAATAAAAATTCTGATTCGCCTACATTATACCTACATTATCAGGTAGGCAATCTACCCGCGGTAGATAGCGAACCTCTAGTTTGTACGTAAGTGTATGACTTAACTCTAAAGTATCAAAGTTATATCAAATTTGTCCTATTCTACCTATGGTGGATTAATATAATCAATTAATACAAAATCCTAACCTAACCTGTTGCATCTCTGTTGTATTTTTTACATCCAGATTTCCTACTCTTCCGGTGGATTTTCCTAACATTTTGTTTCATAGTAACCTTCTCCATGATATACTCTTTAGTTAAAAGAAAAATCAAGAAGATCTGATAAGTTGTTCCAGAGTTGACCCTGTACAAAGATTTTCATTTCACATTTATATAGTTAGAATATATTGACAAAAATGATAATACAAATCAACAAAGGTGCCCGTAATCAATAGCAAGCAATATACAATACACTATTATTATTTTAATCCACAACTTAATTTTTATTATTATTTATTATTTAGTGTGCATTTAAGAGGCTTAACTCCGGAAGTACTTAGCGTACAAACTTCACAGAAACCATCTACATATCAATCATAATATGCCTTGAAATTTTTATCGAAATCGGTTTGGTGGATCTTGAGTTATAAAATGTACACTTATTTATATATATACAGGGTGATTCTTTTATCAAACAACACTCATCATTTGAAAAGTATTGAAAGTGTTGTTTGATAAAAGAATCACCCTGTATATATTACATATATATATATATTTATTTAGTATTAATACAATTAATAAATTATGTTTGTTAAGCGAATTCCTAGCCCCTAGGTTGTTTTAATGCAAACATTATAACTGGCGTACTTAATCTATTACTCGTACATAGCGAGTTGACACTTCAGCATAAAAACAGGTCATAACTGATATCAATTGTTTGAGAAAATGTTGGTTGGTTTCAAAATCATATTATGTGACAAAAGATCTTTGTTTCAAAAACAGCTTTAAAACATTATCGGCAACAAAACCAGCTACAATAAAACAAAAACCTATCTATATATATTACAATATTCTTATCAAATACAATTTAACACTCTTTGATTTTATTTTGATTACATAAAACCGTAGAGTAAAATGTGTAACTTTTATCAGTTTATCGTTATATGTGAGGCATTTCAAATATCGTTTGTGGCTGATTTAGAAAATAATTATGACGTATGAACTGAGAGTCCGTAATCATGACAAATTCGATAATGTTGATAATATAAGAGTATAAGACACTATATTATATTAGTATGTTAGTATTAATACTGTCGTGTCGACAAACGAATTAATTAGCAATAGCGGTCTTAGAACGGGTAAACAAATTATTATTGTTATTCACATTTTGTATCACGTCAAAATGATTCAATATCCCCCGGGCACGCACATTATTAAGCTATAATAATAATAATTATTATTATTTTACACATTCGCCGGGATTTTCGACAATATGACCGGACCAGATGCCGTTTACGACATCGAAATCGAAAATCAGTCGCAGGTGTAACATGTGGAATCTATTAGCGTAAATTGCAATTCATAATAGCTGCGATTGTCCGGGTCACATGTACGCAAGGCATTCGGCGAGTGTGGTATAGCATAACAATTTTAAAAGGATTATATTATATCAATTCGTATGCGTTCCTTGTAATAATATGTACCTATAGTTATAAAGCCAATATACGCAATGCATTCGATTAACAACACGAGGGAATCGTTTTGTCGAGAATCAGCCGCATGACCCTGATAAGAATTATAATATTTTTGTTCTGTTAACCGTTAAAACGAGTAACGATACCTGCAGGATACTATGCGTGTAAAGCCGCGTCCAGACTAGACGACCAAGGCAACCGAACGCCAACGTCAACACATTTGGTGTGGGCTGTACTTAGATTTGAGAGCATTGGCATACTGTCCAAACTCATTCCGAATTCGTCGTTAGTCCGTGTTTGGAAGCCTTCGCTTGTTTATGCTGCGAACTCACATAACTATAAGTTTTATTTTATACTTTCCAAATTTTAAAATTTAATATTTAACTAAAAATATTACATTTTAAATAAAATGTCGTCAAGTGACGACGACTTATTAATGGCAAGTGCTGCTTTTGTGATAATGAACTCATTATTAAAAAAAGAAGAAAAAAAAAAAGAAGGCACAGGCGTTGGTGGATGACTTCGACATTTAAAAGTCGAATAACTTATAGGTAAGTAAACTAAATAGGTACCTAGTTGAAAATATTAATTATTAATATTTATAATTTTTATAGTGGTAGTAATTTACTAGAGGATTTGCGAAGAGAAGATTCTGGTCATTTTAATAACTTCTGCAGAATGCCACCAGCTACATTTGACGTATTACTAGAAATGATCACGCCTATGATTAAAAAAGAAGACACGAATTTCAGAAAGGCTATACCACCTCAAGAGCGACTAGCCTTAACCTTACATTTTTTAGCAACTGGGAACTCTTTTTCCAGTTTAGCAATGACCTTTAAAATATCAAAACAAACAATTTCAACAGTAGTTCCTGAAGTTTGCGAAGCTATTATTCAAGTACTGCAAGATCAAATCAAGGTAATTATAAAAATACAATACACCAAAACATATTGATATAAATACTAATATTATTTTCAATTTATTGAACAAAATTATTAAGAAAAAAAATAATCAAGTTAATTACAATTTTGGTACTCCCAAATAAAAAATAAAACTTATACAATTTTGGTACTCCCAAATAAAAAATAAAACTTATAAAATTTTGGAACTCCCAAATAAAAAATAAAAAATAGTTTAACAGTTCAAATATTCATCATAACTAGTTATTATTTAAAACATCAGTATTTTGATCTGTAAAAGTTTGAAAATAGGAACTTGCCGAGGACTCCGAAGAATGCAAACTATTTTCTTGTGGAGTGATTGGATTATCAAAAATATTACGAATAGGCTCCTGTGATGTTGATGGATAATGATGCGGAGTTGTTTGTTGATAAAATTGTTGATTACTAAATGCACGAAATGTTGCTGAAGGTGCTTTAGAATTAGTGTAATTCCAATGAAGAGCTGGCTGTTGTGGCATTTGTGTATGAAATTTACTCATGTGTGCTTCATATAGAACATTATTAAATGTATGTTTAATTTGAGCTCGGGTATGTTCGTCAAATGTTTTAAGTTCACTCGCTATATACCTCCCATACGTATCACTGTCATCGTCTTTAATCGAACGTTCGTTTTTTTTTGCTTCGATAGTTTTTAATAAATTAAACGCTTCATTTATTCTTGGATCCTCTGGTCGTTGGATTTTTTTTGACACATTTTTTTCTAGTGGTGAGACAAATATTTTTCGTTTGTTTGTAATTTGTGGTTTTGGTGTATGTAATCCCAAAGTAGGAGATATTTGTTCGTTATTGCTATTACTACTTTCTTCTGCAATATTCTCATCCGTACTTAAAAACTCTGATACACCATCATCGTCGATCAAATCACATTCAATCTGCATTAAATTATTAAAATTACTAAATATTATTTTCAGAGGGTTGGGGGGGGGGGGGTTGTAAAAAGTAAAATTTCCCAGTAGTTTAAAAAAGCGTCAGGAAAAAGTATAAACCCTAAATTACGTATCGGAAAAACGGGAATGTTTACGAAAAATCAGTTTTCGACAAAATACACGGAAACATTTTCAAAATATTTTGAATTTTTTTTTGTTAATTTAAGACAATTTACAATACAAAGTTTCTTATAAGTTAACTTATCGCAACTAAAAAAAAATCAAAAATCGTAAAACAAATTTTTTTTTTATTAGCGTTTAACGTTCAAATATTAATTTAGATTTTTATTACCAGGGCTGTGAATTTATAGGAAAGTGCATTTTTTTTGGTGATTGAAAAACATAGCTTTGTTAGTACATAATTTGAATTATGTAACTACGAATCTATCTATAAAACATTTATTTTGCATATTTTTGCATTTTTGACGTTTTTAATTTTTTAGGTCATTTTTTTGCATTTTAAGTCTATATTTTATTGCATTTTTTTGACATTTTAAATGCATTTTTTAAGGTTTTATAGTGCATTAAATTCACAGCTCTATTTATTACTAAGAAAGTACTAGTCGTAAAAACTTGAAATATTTAAAAATTCATAAATTAGTATTTTCTTTAAATATTTTAATTTTCAAAATATTTTGCTTATAGGTATTTGTAATATTTGATTATTTTTAGGTATTTTTTATAACTGTTGATAAAACATTTTTGCCGAGTCGAAATACTTGAAAATTGTATGAAAGGGTTCCAAAAAAATTTTAAAAATATATAACCACAATTTTTTCAATTATTTAATTTAATTTTAGATGCCTGATACAGAAGAAAATTGGTTAAAAATTGCTGACGAATATGAAAAGCAATGGAACTTTCCACATTGCGTGGGTTCAATCGACGGAAAACACGTACAAATACAAGCACCGGCTACAAGTGGTAGTAACTTTTTTAACTACAAATCAACCTTTAGTATTGTTCTGATGGCACTTGTAGACGCTGATTACAATTTTTTGTACGCCGATGTTGGATGTGAAGGTCGAATTTCTGATGGAGGCGTATTTAGAAATACGTCTCTGTTTCAAAAACTTGACAAAAATGAACTAAATTTACCTACAGAAAGCTTATTAGAGGGAAGACAAAAATTAGTGCCATACGTTTTTGTCGCAGATGATGCTTTCCCTTTAAAATATAATATTATGAAGCCATATTCAGGTCTTCAACAAAAAGGATCGAGGGAACGATCATATAATTATAGATTATCACGGGCAAGACGAGTCGTAGAAAACGTATTTGGAATTTTGTCAGCTATTTTTAGAGTTTTAAGAAGGCCACTATTATTAGAGCCCGATAAAGCAGAGCGTGTAGTAATGACATGCGTTTACTTGCATAATTTTTTGAGAAAAAATAAAATATCAAAAAATATATATACACCAAATGGAACTTTTGATTCGGAAATAAATGGCGAAATCAGAGAGGGTACTTGGAGAAACACGTGTCAAGGTGAAACTAGTAGTTTTGTCTCATTTCAAAGAGTTGGGAGGAGATCGGCTAAAAGCGTGGAAGAAATAAGAACGGAATTTGCGGAGTATTTCGTAACAAATGGAAAACTCCAGTGGCAAGATGAATATGAATAATTAATGTTAATCATTAATTTAATAAGTTATTTATAACTATACACAATATTATCTTATTTTTTAATAGGTTATTTATAACTATACACAATATTATCTTATTTTACTTGTACCTATTATTAACAAATAAATGATAAATGATAACTTATGATTAATATTTAAAAATGTGAAGTTATGGTTAAAAATTAAAATATATGAACAATAATAAATTAAACTATTGTAATACTTACATCTTTAGTTGAAGTAGTTTCTGTATTTTTTGTTTTTCTAGGCTTGAACTTATCGTTCAAAAATTGCATGGACTGAAACCCAAACCATTGTGAGTGATACACCTCGTCTTTGCCCATTCCAGATGTAGTTCCTTCTCTCTGCCGTTCTCGCCTGAATGAAGTTAATAAACTTTCCATTTTTTTGCGGATATCAACAACTTCGGCATTCATGTCTTTTGCAATGGCACACCATACATCAAATTTTTTTTTGTTTAATTTATACTCAAAATTTGTTGGATCCCATAGTATTGGGTGTTCTTGATATAAATGTATTAGTTGAATGCATCGTTTATCACTCCAATCCATTTTAAAATTTTAAATGAATAAGTACAATTATTTAAATATTTAATTCAAAAAGACACCAGTTCGGACCAAATGTCAACGAATACTAAAATATCGACAAATCGTGTCCGAACCGATAACGAATTTCTTTTGATGTACCGCTTGCCGAGCGAAGGCAACCGAAGGCAAATTCACCGTTGGCGTTCGTTCGGTAGCGCTGTCCACACCAATACCAATATCTCCGAATAAGGTCGTCACATGTGCCTTCGATACCCTTGGTCGTCTAGTCTGGACGCGGCTTAATATAACTTCTCAGTGTTTCTATATTCATAAAATGATAACAATAATGTTCGATTAATGCTGGATTACCTAATCCAATGTGCAGTTGCTTGTCTCAATGGGCTTTGAGTGTTAGTCTTAGCAATTTGTTTTGGAGAATTTAAAATATTTTTATTTTTACAGGTGAAGCAGCAGCCCAACCTGGGTAAGTTCACTAAGTTAGTAGCGATCTTAATGTGGCCGTTCAGAGCAGCAGAAAGCAATTTATCTGCAAGATTGAGTTGTGGTTTTTAATAGGTGGTGTTGGATTTTCATCCTTAGTCTAGTATTTTATTTATGCGAATTTTCCGAGTTAGTTTTTGGTTTGTAGGTGTACCTCAAAGTACTTTACTGAGTCATCCTTGAGGTTCTGTAGGATTTCTTGGTTGTTAATTTGTACAAAATCTGGATTTATGTATTTTGTCAAATACTTATGTTGACTTCACATTTTGTGGGATTTAAGGTGAATTTCTATCCTGATAATCACAGGGATAATTCGTCCAGAGAGTTTTCTAGTTATTATATTGGCAATTCTAAACATAATCTTTAAACATTTTCAAATACAACGAGTTTACAATTTTTAGATGGATATATTATAATATTATTCATTGGTGGAAAGAACAAGCTATGACACAAGTAAAAATAAAAATGTCAGGAAAGACTAAAATGTTTATACTTTTATTAGAGATTACTTAAGAAACGTTTTGAGGTTACAATACTTGGAAAAAAGTGGATTTATGATCTTTTTCATTAATAGTTAAAAATCTCTTATTGTCGGCATCTGTTTAATTTCATCGCTTGGTACTTATACTGTGGAATATTATAAATGATTAATTCATGTTGAACAATATATCACCGTTCACATGATGAATAGGAAGGTTTTTTTGTTATTTATCTCGACATTATAATAAATTATAAGTTCAATCAGTATTTTTAAATTAGGTTTTTACCTAAATTAAGTAAAAATTAAATTCGATATTTTAGTTATTTATCAGTCCAGTTCAGATGAATTATAATATTATTTTGTATAATAATATTATAATAGTATGTTTGTGAGAACATAAATGTAAACATAGTGCTTAAACAATTTATAAGCTTATTACAATTATTAATATATTTATTTTTTCGTCAACGGGTGACAATTTATTTTTATATTCATGTGGTTGTTTGAACGTTACGGTAAACATTTTGTGAGGATTATACTATTTAGAATTTCAGCGAGTTAATTGGTATGATAGTAAATTATTATAATATGTGGTGGTACAAATTATATCAAAACGTACAATACATTATTTTGGGTGGTCATTTTTTATAATTTTACGTGGCTATAGAGTTTTATTTATTTGTATTGAACAATTAAGTCATAGACCAATATTCATAGGGGAAGGGAGTGGCTGGCGGGATCGTGTGGTATATGTAATTATTATACCTACGTGTGGACATTACGATATTTCTAAATGATAATTAAACAACCATTTATCAAAAACCTTTACAATATGTAGGTAGCGATGAATTTTAACAACTATACCGGTTTCCGGTTATGGTGACAGCTTGCGGAGTGAGGGGCGAACTCATTCGCTGTCGAAGACCACCGAAGTTCTTAACCAATTATGTGGCCTTAATCATAGGTCCATCCATAGTACGTGGTACTTGGGTTTTATATATGGTTTTTCTACCCCATCGGGCTAACCAATTTAATATTTTATAGGTAACGAAGTGTCGGTAAAATGTTATCTACAAGTTTAGTTTATTCAACTTAACTCGACACGATAATATATAGTGGAAACCAGGCATAACCGTTGTATTTTCCATCGGTTTATGTTGTGGAAACGTTCACGCCAGCCGTTTCCTCGGCGTTCCGTTCAACGTGTCATTTTCGACGATCAGACAGTTTTCTCGTCACCATTTTCCATCGTTTCGTGTTCTATTTTAGATTAATTGTGCCGACAATTAAGCAGGCACTACTTAAGTGTGCTTTAATTTTTCGTCATTTAAATCTGGTAAGCCTCGGGTTACCACACCGTTTACACCACATATTCCGCACTTACTCTCGAGACATCACGGCGATATTTTCCGTCACGGCCAGAATTTGGAAAACACTCAACGCGTCACCGGATTGCCTAGTTCTCGGCCATAGGCAAAATATTATACTGTTTTCGAGTAGAAATCTATTATAGGTATGACAATCAATATTGATACTTAAGTCAGTGGCGTGCGTTGCAGTCGCGACGGCGTTCCAGCTACACCAGCTGACTTTAACGACCTTCCAAGGTCCTAATGTGAAAATCGATGATAGTTTTCCGAGGATCAAGGACCGGGAAAGGTAAGACTCATAAATATTATATTATACTATGTTTGTCGTAGAATATACTGTTTGCCTGTGTGATCACACGCCATTACGATCGTTTCGTTAATGAGTGATGTTAAAACTCCCGTATATATTTAAATATAATATTTAACTCGTAGGTAATCACTAATCTGTTACCACTTACCAAGATTTTTGTCATCTACGTTTCAAGTAGACGTTTTGGTGTGGACATTTCTGAACCACCTTGATTTATAGTATTTCCGTTTAATGTATGTATACATATTAATATATTTTATCTACCTATACTGTGTACTGCGGGCAATGTGATATTAGGTCAAATTGTATGCCACTTTAATGTGCCAAAGGTCACCAAATTTCATCAACATCGACATTTTTATATTATTTTATACAAGCCTATATTTTTTCTATCTTTATACATTTTATACTTGTATATTAGGTATGAGGGGGCCTCAAAGTTATTTTTACATAACTGGTGGTCAGTTCAACTAAAAACGTTGGAAGCCGTTGCAATGTATAGGTTTGTGAAATACATACGGTGCCTACGACGATTTTCAGTATGAATATACCAAAATAATAATAAAACGCGAGCGTGATCGTCTATTCGTATTATTTTTTAATTATAATATAGACCCTATATATTTATACCTACCCTTTTATAAGGATAGTTTTATGATTTGGTTAGTTATAAACTTTACTAGTGATGGGTCAACTGTTCGAATTTCGAACCCAACCAAACCACGAACACCAGTTGTTAAGTTCAGTTTGTAATTCGATCTCAGAAAGAAATTAAATCGAACCGAACTATTTACCATTTAGGTAAGTTTGAAAGTAGACAAAAAAGGTTTTATAAAAGTTATTATAAAATTATTGAAAACTTAAAATATATAAATGTTGTATTGGTACTTTATATTTTTTAAATATTCTTCTGAAATATCAAATAATAGTACTAATAGTAATAATAATAGTAATAATAGTAATAATAATAATTGAATGTTAATTAATAATATTATTATAATTTATTAAACATTTTTCGATGTATTCGATTTTATACGATGTAAGTAAAATCTTCATAATTTCAGTATTTTTGTAAAAGAAAAAAAACTGAGTTCAAATTTTAGTTCGATAATACAATTTTAATAGTTCGGCTCGGTTCTGGTTCGTTTGAATACTTATAAGTTCGGTTCAGGTCTGGTTCGCAATACTCTGACAATGTTCGTTTAGACATCAAAAAATGAGGTTCTACTCAGCCTATAATATGTGAACATGTTGGAAATTTAAAACTAGTGGGATATAATAATATGATCACACTTTCTCGTAGACAGTACAAAAGTCACTTCCACATCGAATATCCGTGGAAATTAAACTCTGTTATATTATTACAACGCAAGTAATTATGGAGTAATTCTACTAGACGTTTTAAATATTGTTTGTATTTCCGTCGAAATGGGATTAAGCCATGCAGTTAAATTCTTTATATTTGATAAAAATTGATTGTGAAAGGAGTAGAGTGTTTGATGAAGTAGTCTTATTTAAAATGTCGAACAAAAAAAAAATACACATGAAAATATTTACGTGATATTTATATATATTTTTTTTTTATATTATCCACGTTTTTTTTATGGCATTCATTTTGTACAGCGATTTATGTTGACTTTAATGCAAATTATAATTAAAATAATATCTTAAAAAAATCAATAGTTATCTGTTATATTCATTTATAATAACAAATATCAATGATTTTGAATTGCCTTTCACTCCTTCCTCTCTGAAGACGTCGTCCCCGTCGTTGAGATTCTAACCAATTAATCTGATAACAAGACGTGTCTAGAACAAGAATATTTTCAATTGAATTAAAGTGATGTATTCAAAAATAATATTTATAAAAATATCTGTACTCTTATTTTTAATTTATCAAATACTTAAATACAAGTTTAATAATACGAGGCTACATATTATTTCACTATTTTTATTGTTCCATGATTTACAAATAAAAATCTCGAGTTCATAAAAGATATAAACATTTATTATTAGAATAATAAATTAAAAAGAAATAATATTTTCAGTTCAGAAAAACTTGGGCCATACTATAATATATAACTACTACGGAATTGTTTATCGCGACTTTACTTACCCCATCACTTATTTAACAGTTCAAGGCCGACAACGTTATATATTTAATACCTATCTCTATTCTAAGCCATTAACCGTATAGTTTTTTTTTTTCGTGCAATAAAAAAACTTTTCTTTTAAGTTATAACGTTGCACACAACAGTAGGTACTGATAGGAATACCAGATATAATTTATTTCAACGGTCCTTATAATATTATACTAGTCATGATTTATAAAAATGCGCATATTTGGCCGACTGAGTACAAA